GTGGTGTTTGTACATAAATGTGTGTTGGCAGTGTGTGTTACACAACCACCCTATAATGATAAAAAGCCACCCAGTGTTTTTTTTTTAAATCCCTATTTTAAAATCCCCTTTCTTAAATCAGGCTGTTCTGAGATTCTTGTCAGAATGACGTAGTTCTGCACAGGCCGCTCCCACGATAGTTGATTGACAAGGCCGTCTTACCTTAGTCCCGCCCTGAGTGAGCTGTCATCAGTCCGCCATTGTGTCGACTCCGGTGCAGGGGAAGACAAGAATGTCTCTGATTAAGAGATTGAGATGTTTTGTTGCTGGATGTAATAATGAACATAGCAGTCATTTACTCCCGACATCTGAGCCGCTGAAGACGCAGAGGATTTACGTTACTTTCATTTTTGAAGGGAATGCGCAGATCCCGATCGACCTAAATGCGTCTGTGTTCGCGCGAATCATTCATGATCCAGCTTCATCTACAGAAGAAGTCAGTATAAGGGTTTTTGAATGAATCTTTGCAAATCGCCTTTCCTAATAAGTGCTAGTTAGCCAGTTTCGCGGCTGAAGTTTACAGTCTGCTCGTCATTCCACGGAAGAGAGGGGCGGGGTCAGCAGAGCTCTTTAGCATTTAAAGCAACGTACTAGAACGGTGTGCTGAAAACAGAGCTTATTTTAACAGGGTAAAAAGGGTGTTTTTTACACTACCATTGGGAAATTTTAACCAAAGTATGTTATAGACTTTTCATTATGACCCTAAAGAATCATATCAACTTGTGGAAAATGGGCATCCGATGACCCCTTTAATAAATTAAGGATTCTTTGAATTGGTGGAAAAGTAAAAAAATATATCTCTTTATTGTCACTTTTGATAAATTTAATGCATCCTTCCTCAAAAAAAGTATTAATGAAAAAAAAAAAATAAAACAATTTTGAACCCACCCTAAACTCCTCAATGGTTTTGTATTTTTTGATATTGGTCTGTTGTTGTAATCAACCAAAATGTTGTTGGTTACTTAACATGTAATTTAGATGGTTTCTTTCTGTCTAAATGGCCGATTCTTGGCCAGAATGAGCTGCTATGAGGACCAGACTTTTCCCATTATGTATGTTTAAATAGTACTTGTATCTGATCTCCAGTCAGGTGGGACTCTCACATCAGGGTCCAACTCTAGCGATGGTAGTGGTACGCCCTCCAGTCCAGTGCTGAGGATAATCATTGATAACATGTTTTACCCCGTCACCCTGGATGTGCTGCAGCAGGTAGGGGACGCCACAGTTAGGATCAGCCTCTTATTGAGAGTTTACATTGGTGACAAATTGATGTCCTGTTGATGCTGTGTGTGTTAATTATGTTTTTTTTGTAATGTCTTTTCCCCTCTGTTGATAGCTCCCCTCAATGCTCTGCTTTCTCTGTCTATAGATCTTCTCAAAATTTGGCACCGTCATGAAAATCATCACATTCACCAAGAACAATCAGTTTCAGGCCCTGTTGCAGTACAGCGATCCAACCAGTGCGCAGCAAGCTAAAGTGGTGGGTTTGCTCTCAGCGGAAGTTCACGTTTTTAGTGCCCTACGAAGACGACACATTCTTTCTATCTGTCTCTCTCTCTCCTTGTTCTCTTTTCTGTCTTTTTCTCTTTTGTTCTAGGCTCTAGATGGTCAGAACATATACAATGCCTGCTGTACCCTTCGCATAGACTACTCCAAACTTGTCAACCTGAATGTAAAATACAATAATGATAAGAGCAGGGACTACACAAGGCCGGAGCTTCCTGCTGGAGATGGGCAGCCCGCTCTGGATTCCACTGTGGCTGCTGCCCTGGGTAAAGATTCCACTTCCCTG